AGTCTTCAAAGATTCCCTGGGCCTGGTCAGGGAAGGAGGTGCAAGGAAGTCTGAATGCAGAAGACAGGTCCCTCATAGAAGGGTTCCAGAACATTCTCTGAGGATAGCACTTTCCAGAAAGTGCCTCAAAGACCAGGCCTGTTGTTGTGTACCAAGCTATGTGGTAAAGACCTCATTTGTCAACAACTATAAGGCTCTCTGGCCTGTGACAGCAGTTAGAGTGGAGCATAGTGACCCCAAGACCCAGAGGCCACTAGCATCCCCAGGCTGGGCTGGAAGAGGGACGATGAGCCATCTGCTTGTGCTAGTGCTTTCGTTTTCCTACTCTTTTATTCTCATAACACCCTGAAGCTTGGCATGCACAGTGCTGGAAGGCCTGGTCCGGCTGTGGCTGTGCACCCTTCCTGGTCACTCTTCTTTCACCCTTTCCAAAGTACTTCTCCTGGATTCTTTGCTCATACCACGGAACCCTTGTCCGGACTGTTGCTCAGCCCCGGATGTCCTGCTTCTGGTCTCTCCACCTCTAGCCCTTTGTATACAGGTGGCAGAGGCAGCCACGGTGCTGACCACTCATTTATTATTATTTTTTTTTGTCCTTCCTTCATTTCATTTTTGCTATTTAAAAATAACATTTATAAGACCAGCAACATGGCTATAGGTAAAGGCACTTGCTGCCAGGACCCCCATAATGGAAGGAGAGAACCACTACACACACACACACACACACACACACACACCCACACACCCACAGTACACACAATATGCATGCACACACATGTGTACATACACTCACAGATCTATTTTTTGAGACAGGATCTCTCTATGTAGCCCTGGCTGTCCTGGAACACACTATGTAACCAATTTGGCCATGAACTAACAGATCAAACTGCCTTTTCATCCCAAGTGCTAGGATTAAAGGCGTGCACCACCAGGTCCAGCTATTTCAAAGCAAAACAAAACGATCTGGAGAGATTGAAAAGTTCCTGTTGTCCCTGTCAAATTAAAAAAAAAAAAATTCTACTGAACAAACTAAAAATAAAGCCCAGTATTCACCTTTTGTTTACATCTTTTAAAAAATCATTTCTTATGCAAATATAATATTTAAACCATTGGATTAATTCTAGATCTCAAAGATAACACCAAATTCCTGTCCACAGTTTTAATGACTATTTTCCCACAGCACAATGATCAAAACTGAGAAATTAACACTAGTGGAGTGCTATTTACTAGAACAAGATTTTATTCAGATTCTATTCTTTCCACTAATATCTCATCTCTTCATTTCAAGATTCAATCCTATTGTATGAGTAGATGCATGGTTTTTTACAAATCTGTATCTCCTTGTGCATGTTATATATTTTTAAATAATTTATTTTATTTTATGTGCATTAGTGTGAAGGTGTCAGATCCCTTGGAATTGGGGGCATAGACAGTTGTGAGCTGCCATGTGGGTGCTGGTAATTGAACCCAGGTCCTTTGGAAGAGGACCTCTTAACTTAACCACTGAGCCATCTCTCCAGCCCCGTGCATGCTATTTTATAACCAGTTCTTCTCACTTGATAACAGGTCACAAACATTTCCCCAGTCACAACATAATTATCCCATTTTTCTTCCCTTTGGCTAGAATGGACTCTGCTAAACATATCTCGATCACTGAGATAAATCTCTGCTCTTTAGTGTTTTGAGATAAGATCTTACTCTTGTAGCCCAGGCTGCCTCATGATCCTCTTGCTTTTGTCTCTGGAATGCTTTTATTACAGGCACTCACTTACTTGCCTGTCATCATTTTTAATGGTAGCAGAGCATTTCATTGTGTGGACTTGTCAGAATTTGCTGGACCTCCTGGTTATTCTATACTTTGTTTCTAGCCTTTTGCTACTATGAAGAATAATGAGATGAACTTCTTTTAAGTTCTCCTGAAACACATATCTCTGGCTATTTTGTTGTTAAAAAAACAAACAAACAAAAAAAGTCCTAGGAACCCAGGGGACCCATTCTTTCTTCCAATTTGACAGCATGGATTTGACCCTGTTGCAAATCCTTCTGATTCAAAAAACCTATCACTCTCACCCTGAGGCAGGTAGGAGAAGCAAAGAGTGACATGGCCATAGTCTTTGCAGTTGGGGAGAAGACAGAAGACACCAAAGGAACTGTAGCTCCTTCCTGGCTTCTCAGCCTTATCAGCAAAGCCCACCACTCTCAGCTACATATCTTATCTCCCTAGAAAGGAGGTTGCTTGCTCTGAGCCCAAGGATAATGGGGAGAAGATGGGGAGGGGGTGGGGCAGAGGCTGCTAATGCATTTTGCCAGCATCTTTGGTTTCTCCAATATCTAGCCAGACTATTAGCAGTTCCCCAAGGATGGCCTTACTCCTCACATCATCCCCCATTTCCTATAAATGGGAAGTGGCTAGGGAGTAAGGTTTTAGTATGTGTGTGCACATGTGAGCAATGGGGGAGGGAGAAGAGAGGAAGGAAAGGGTCATGATGGTTTTCCTATTGCTGACTTAGTGGAGAAGTGAGACCCAGAGAAGTTATTTGCACAGAAGGCTGCATCATGATGGGGAGGGCACAGGTGTGATGAATTCCTCTGAGCTCTGAAGTTACAATCAGAGCTAGATGAGAGACTCCTGCTTCCGCCTTGTTTCTGCAACAGGAGCCTGTGACTAGGGAGCTGGGGAAAAGGAATTAAACTAAGAAACTGCCTTAGTTTAGTAATATCCATGACCTGGCTTGTCCTAAGCATTTAGAAACAGTTCCTGGCACACTGGTTAACTATCATTAGTATCATTATGACAGGAAGCTGCAGAAGGGGAAGGGATTTTAGAGCAGGATGGTCCCAAGCACTAAAAGCACTGTGGCTAAGGAAGGAAGTACCTTTGTTGGGACTGGGTCTCAGGCAGTTGTTCCAGCTACTGGGGAATGGTCTTGGATCTCTCATAGCTCTCTGAAGCCCTTTCTCCTCTTCACTGTGTCACCCAGCAATGAGACACATAAATAGGCCCCTAGCAAGGAATGAGGCATAGACAAGATAGAGGACCCCCAGTCCTCTGAGATGGGACAATACTCTTGCTCCCACTGTTCTTTCTCAGGCCTGGAAAATACCACTGGCCATTCTTTCCGGGCTCTGTAATTTTCCACCTGACTTGGCATTCCCCATGACTCCTGCCCTTATTCCTGGGGCAAAGGGGACACTGGCTCCCCGGAATCCCCAGGACTCTACCCTGAGCTCTGTGCTGGTCATAAGTAAGTATGCCAAAAATGCTGGAAAGCCAGCATCCCAGGTAGGGATGGAGATTCATGTGCTCCCAGAGAGGCTATGCCCAGATGGTTTTGAAGTTAAATTTAATGACTCAGAACGTAGACTCTTGACATTTTTGTCCTCTGCTTGCCACTGTATACACACTCTCTTTCCCACTACTCCATTTTCCCTTTTCCCTTTGATATCTCTCTTTTTTTTCTGTCCTCACCCTCCCACCTGAGGGTGCCTTTGGGGAGCAGCTGACTAGCTGTCTAGGCTAACAGAACCCAGAACATGGGAAGGACTTGCCCCAAGGTGCACAGCTAGTTAACACTGGGCTGACACTGCAATCCAGCACCACAGTGGCCAGTTCCAACCTAAGGCCAGCCTGGTCCTCCCTATTAAAAGCATCTCCTGGGACTTTGTAGTGCAGATGGTCCCAGGACCCTGTGGATACCCAATCTGCCTCAAGGTCTCAAGATAGCATGGTACATAAACAAGATAGCATTTGTACGTAAACCTGCACACATCTCCCTGTGGACTTCATCTCATTGAGACATTATACTTAATATGATGTAAATGCTCACATAGGATAGCACTTGTTCTATTTATCTTGCTCAGGGAATAATGACAAGGGGAGGTCTGTTCACATTCATACTGCGACAATGAAAATAATCCTCAGTCCAACATACAACACATACCAGTAATGCAACATTTCCCTCTAATATTTTTATGGTTAGTTGAGTTCCATGCACCACGAAGATCTGCAGAAATGCCTAGCCTGTGGTCAACAAGTTGCCTAAATGATTTTCTCTCCACCTTATAAAATTCCATGGATGAAAGAAGCACAATAGGGCTGGAGAGATGGCTCAGAGGTTAAGAGCACTGGCTGTTCTTCTAAAAGTCCTGAGTTCAATTCCCAGCAACCACATGGTGGCTCACAACCATCTATAGTGAGATCTGGTGCTCCCTTCTGGCACACAGAAATACATGTAGACAAAACACTGTATATATAATAAATAAATCAAAAAAAAAAAAAAAAAAAAAAAAAGAAAGAAAGAAGCACAATAAAGCTCCCAACCTCCACCCTGGGGTCAGCCTAGGACTGCAATGATCTGCCTCCCACCTGAACTGGTTTCCTGCTAGTCAAAGCATTTTGGAAACTTTGACTGGGAACATTTTGGTGGCAATTTATCACCTCTCCTTCCGCATACACGCCCACAAGTCAAAAAAAAAAAAAAAAAAAAAGAAGAAGAAGAATTGGGAGTTTGTCTTTGAGTCGCATAAAGAGGCACTGAGTTAGCTTTCTGAGAGCAGGGAGGGTAACTCTCAGAATGTGACAGATCCTTTCAAGGCATGGCCCAGAGCGGGTGGGTGGCAGCTATGCCTTGACAGCAGGATGTCCAGAACGGCACGCGCGGGCAATGGTCGCAGACTGGCTCGGAGAACGGAGGGTTGGTACCCCGTGGAGCCGGGTAGTTTTTACTTAAATGTTTTGGTGGCGAGCGGCAAAGGGGGCGGTGCACGGCCCTAGATAATGACAGGGCAGTCTAGGTGCCACGCGGGGGCTGCCCGTCCGGCCACGACCAGAAAGGAGACTGTTTCCCCACTTCCCCGCTCTCTTCCCCCTGGGGACCGGCCCCACCCCTCCATCCCCTCCCAGCACCCCCCCACCTCCGACCCGCCTCGCCCCGCCCCCCTCCTGGCCGCCCCAGCGCGCATGCTCTCTCCCCCCCACCGAGTAACCTGGAGATTTAAAAGCTGCCCGCTGGCGCGCGTTGAGGAAACGGGGGTCCGAGCTCGCACGCGCCAGCCCCAGGTGACAGCCGCGCTCCGGGCCAGGTAGGGGAGGAGCCGATCCAGGTGGAAAAGGAGCGCACGGGTGGCCTTGCTCCGCGGTGGCGTTCTGCGCCCCGCTGGATGGGGCCGCGCCGTGGCGTCCCGGCCCTGCGCGAGTGGAGGCTCGCGGGGAGGGCGCGGCCCCTGGCGGCCCGGTGCCCAGAGCGGGAGTCCGCTCGCGTCCGCGCCGAGTGCGCCTCCTCTGAGAGCCTAGTGCTGTGGCGCTCGCTGTCCCGGGCCGCGCGCGAAGGGCGGGAACAGAGCCGTGGAGTCCCGGGCCAGGCTGGCGGAGGGCCGGCTGCCCCTGCTGCAGCCTCCCGCCGTAGTTTTCTTTGGAAAGTTGAGTTTATTTCTTTCCTTGTCTGGGCTTCACCCGAAAGGGGCAGATGAGTCATCGCGGCGCGCATGGTCCACACTTAGGGGAGCCCTGCAAGGGGCCTTCGGCTGGGTCCCGTGATCATAGGCAGAGGGGGGGCACCTCTCATCACCCCAGAATTGGGGCAAGGCTTTGGTGGAGTTGTGTTTGTGTACGTGTGCGGTCCTGTACTCCCCGCCCCTCCCCGCCTCCGCTACCCACCTGCGGAGGGGAAAGCAGCGTCGGCTGTGACTCCTGTGTCCCGAGGCTCAGGTGGAAATGTGGAGTACTCTGCGGAGCGAGAGAGCGCTAGGTGGGCGGCAGCACGCCCAGTGGAGAAAACCCAGAAGCCTGCCGGCTCAGCCCTTCCCTACTCTCCGCTCTCCGCTAGAGAACCCTGTAACTGCTCTCTCTCTTGACCTCCAACTCAACCCCCTCCTTCGTGACACGCACTTGATTCGTCCGAGGCCACGGAGTACCCGGTGCTTCCTCTTTCCCCAGGAGTCTGAGTTGGAGGTATGAAGAGTTTGGCCCAATGGGTACCTGGAGAGAACTTGATGTTCAGTTGTGCCAGACCCTATCCTAGCTAAGCTGAACTTTGAATAGCCCAGGCAAGGCCTGGCAGATGGGCAAGGCATAGACATGGCTCAGAATGACTCTTGCTGGGCTCCCAGCAGGAGCGAAGGTGAGACTGTTGATGTTTCTAATCTCTGTTTCCTATGCATGAAGCATAATCCCTTTCCTAGTGTGTGCAGATTTGGTGTAGGCTCACGTGCCTAAGGTGTTGGGAACAGGTTGGCATATGGAGCTGGGAAGTGGAGGGCCCAGGAGTATATGCTGGACAGGAAGCGGAGGGACCTTACAGAACACCATGTCCTAGGGAGTAAGTGGGACACGATGTGAAGCCTCCGACCCTTCTGCTGGATCCATTTCATCCTCTCATTCCTCCCTTATCTCCCACCCGCCCAGCTCCAGGGCAATCCTGGAAGCAAGACTGTACTTTTTACAAGTGCCCAGAAAATGGAGCTTGACTCACTAGATGAGTCTAAAGATAAAAATACAGCTGTGGACATATTGGCCCTAGTTAGGGTCTTTGCCAAAGGGAGCTTTCCTATGCACTTTTGGAGGGGAGGGTTAAACCCCTTGCTCCTCCTGGTTCACTGAGTAACCCCTAAGGAACAGGAGGAGGAGCTGGACAAGGTCCCTGTGTGGTCTACTCTGCTCTGCAGGCTGCTAGGGTGGGAAAAGATGTGTTCTGGCCCCAAGCTGGAACTGAGCCTAAGTAGAGCAAAGGTGAGGGAGAGCAGGAAGATGGGGAAGAATGGTCCGAGGTCACTGGAAGTAAGACTGATTTCTGGTGGTAACCTCTGGACCATTAAAACCTTGTAGCACTTCAGGGATGACAAAGGCGTAAGGAGCTTTTCTATTGCCTGTTCCACTCTACTGGCTGTGCTCCACTGGTCTGCAAGTTTCGCTAACTTTTCTGCAAAATGGGGATGATGATGACAATGATCATACCCTCTGCACAGCTCTGCTATTTCAGTTAATTACAACAAATACAAACAGCACTAACAAAGGTATACACAGTCTAAAAATGTAACTTCATTAAACAACACAAATAGAACTTAACTATGTGTTTTTAGCCCAGCGTGCTGACCTGTAATCTCAGTACACTGCGGAGGCAGAAGCAAGAGGATTAGGAGTTCAAGGCTACGTAATGACTTCCAGACCAGCCTGAGTTACATGAGACTATCTAAAACAAAAACAAAACCCGTTTTGTTATTTGTCTGAAATGCAGTCAGTGTTCAATAAATGTTAGTTTTAACTATTATATTAATCACCTTTGTCTGGATGGATCGCCCAAGACTGGGGGGGGGGGGGCTGCTGTCTGTTTTTTTGAGACTGTGTCTATGTAGCTCAGGATGTTCTTGAACTCACAACTCTGTCTTGACCTCCCTAGTGCTGGGATTATAGGTGTATACCCTCATGCCTGGCTTGGGCCCTACTCTTTTTATTTTTTGTAAAGAGACTGTTCTAGGCCTACTTCTTTGGGGACAAGGTCTCCTGTGCTTTGAGAAGTTTAAGTAGCTAAAAGACTAGGCTCTAGCAAATGGATCGAATCCCATTTCCTCCAAAGTAAGTTATCAGCCTTCTGTTTCCTCTGTAAACCAAGCATGCTAGGACCTTCCTTCCAGGATTTCAGGATTAAAGAGATGACTTCAGGTAAACCTCTGAGCAGAGCAGCTGTTTATGGAGATGTTGATAAATGTCAGCTGCTGCTATTTGTTGACGATGGAGACAGTCATTGTGGATTCACTTAGAAACTGGTCTCCTAGCCAGGGAACACCACCATATATAACCATACGAAAGCCATGAACAATTAAATTTTGGGTCCAGTGCAAAGAACAAACCAAGACTGGGTGGACATCTTGACCTCTTCCCCTCTCTGTACTTCCTGGTGCATTTTATGATTAGTGTAGAAACCGCTGCTTGCCTCCCTCCCAAGAATATAATCATAGGTGCTGGGAGAGTACTGTGAGGCAAAGGAGGTGAATGTGTGCCCTGAAAGGTTAAGAGCCTTCCATGTAGAAAGGTTATATATAATTTTTGGAAGACTGTATGGGGAGAGTGCCCTGGAGCCCTCTCTGTTGTCTCTCTCCAGCCTTGGGGTAGGGGTAGGAGGGAGCTTTCATGCTACTTTTTGGTATCCACAAGGAAAGCTTAGCCTAGCTCTCCCAGCATGCATTCTGTCACTGAGTTAGATTCCCCAGCCCTCCCAGCAAAAGGCAGTGGCCCTGTTTGCTAGACAGTGTATGCGGAGGCTGGACCAGTTGGTACCAGGCCCAGTGTCTCAAATGCTGATGCCACTTGACTCCCAGCAACAGAGCTGGAGTGCTGAGCTTTGTCTAGTGTATTGAGTGTTGCTGCCTGGGGGCAGAGGCTAGAGACAGAGTCCTATCAGCGTCCTGATCTTTGGCCAGAATTACCTGTTTAATCCCGTTTTCTGGTATTGGTCTGTTTTTCTTCCTCCTTCCTTGAGTAACTGGGATGGGGAGCCTTTTTAACTGTAATGTTGGAGATGTCCCCATGCCTAGTTGTTGCCTTTATTTCCATGTCTGTAAAGTGGAGGTTCTAGTCACCCTTCAAGGCTGTGGTGGGAATTAGATGTGATGTGATTGTCTGCAAAGCCTGCCTAAACCAGATATATACTCAAAAGATGTTTGTTCTTGTTCCTTAACTGGAAATCACATTCTCTGGGGCTCTGGGACAAGCTAGCAGGGAGAAGATAGGAGGCATCTCCTAGCTCAACTTCTACTGGTTATCAAACCCAGGCCAGGCTAAATGCCCTGCCAGATGGGATCCCCTTAGGACCAGCCAGCCCCTAACAGCAGTTCCTCAGTAGCCCCCAAGTCTCTAATCACAAGTATACTTTGAGCTAGCAAACAGTGTCCGAGCTAGGAGCACTTAGCCACCCTAGGGATGCAGCCATTTTAGATCCCAGCTCCTGTTGCTGGAGATCTGTGCACCCAGATACCTGAGTGTGTCCCTGGCTTACTCCTCGGCTTCCTGGTCCAATCAAAAGATTCCTGTCTTAGCCTGGGCTTAGACCACCTGTCTAAGACCTTCCTGTCTTAGACCGTAGGCCTGGGCTCCTGGTCTGCTTCTGTCTGTCTGTGCTACCTGGGGAGGGTGCCATGGGAAAGAGGCAAACTGGAGACTGAGAACTAGGGGCAGAATCTAGTGTTGTGCCTTAGCATAGCAGAGAGGTGGGGGAGGGAGAGAACATGACGTTTTGGGGTTCAGGGAGCTCTGGAGGAGTAGGTGTGGGACTTGAGCTGTAGAGGGTTCAAGTGAAGGGCAGAGGCTCTTTCGGAAGGGGAAATAGTTGGAAGCAAACACTATTCAAGTGCTAGTGAATTGATCATCTGGGACACACAGATCAGAACCCAGTTGTGTGGCTTTGGTTCTCATGTTCTTTCCTGTATACCTCACTGGAGAGAGGCCAGTAGGAGGGGTGTATATGTTTGGAAATCCCATGCTCTAGGGGCTGTGTGCCCTTCCGTGTAGCACCTGCTTACTTTTCATGACTCAGCCACATGTCTGCGTCCTCCGGGAAGCCTTGACTACACCGATACCACGCCCCCTACTTGCTGGCCTGTGTCTTAGCACTTGTACCACCTTACTGCACATGGATTTCGCTTTATCATATTTCTCTCTCCTGATAATCAGAGCTGTCTGTAGTCAATTATTTCTGTCCCCACAGCACTTTCACTGTTGTGGGGAGGGGAGGTGGTAAACAACTGTGGCTCAGTCGGTACTGAGCGGCACATTTTAGGGCTCTTTAGCATTCTTTGGGGGTGCTTAGGTTGCATGCTGAGGTATACTTCTTCCAAGGATGAATAGAATAGCTTCTTAAAAGTCTCTTTTAGGGTCTTACCTTATTCACCTGAGTAACTGTTTCATTTTGTTATTTCTGGGCATGGGGTCAAACCAAGTGCCTTCAGCAAGCTATATGAACACTCTGCACTGACCTAGATCCTCAGTTTGCTTTGTTTTTGAGACAGGATCTCACTGTGTAGTCCTGGATGGCCTAGAACTCACTGTGAAGACTAGGCTGGCCTCAAACTCTGCTGGGACTAAAAATGTC